AACTGTGGGAGCAAGGAATTGTCCCAACCGACTGGAGCCGCTCTGTCACAGTCCCTATCTTCATAGGAGGCTCGCGTTCGGAATGCGTTAACTATAGAGTAATCAGTGTGATCCCCATCACCAGACTACTTGCCTCTGTCATCCTTCACAAACTGTCGATCGTGAAAACCAGATTCGTGACGAGCAAGCCGGGTTTCGTCGGGGTCGTAGTCGCATCGACCACATTTTCACTTGGCATCAATAGTTGACGCACCGTCACACATATTGACGGCACACCGTTGTCGTGTTCCTCGACCCCAAAGGTGCCTTCGATTCGCTTGGTCGATGTGCCCTTTGGGACTGTCTACTCAGGAAAGGTGTGCCTCAGAAATATGTAAATATTATCCGCGCACTATACGCGCGTATCACTGACAGAGTGAGGGCTTACGACAAGCTGTCGTCGCCCTTTACTATCTCCAGCGGTGTGAGACAAGGATACCCGCTGTCACCTTTCCTCTTCAACTTCGCTATTGATGAAGTCATGGAAATCGCGTTCACAGGACATGATCTAGAAGGTGTGGATCTGCTCCGAGGAGAACAACTTTTTGACTTGGAGTATGCTGACGATATTGCCCTAATCTGTGAATGTGTCCCAGAAAAGTACACCACCATCCTGCTTGCACTCTACCTCCACAACTCTGGCAAAGTGAGGGTCTATGACAAGCTTTCGTCGTTCTTCGCTGTCAAAAGCGATGTACCACAGAGCTGCCCTATGTCCTTATTCTTCTTTCACTTTGCGATTGAATACTTTCTGTCTAGAGCACTAGATGGTTACCAACATTTTGTCCTGCAGCTTGTACAGGACATGCGGGCGACCGACTTGGATTATGCCGATGAGAACGCCTTACTTGGTCATGACTCCCAGAGTATGGAACAATTGGAAGCCATTTGGCGATTGAGGCATCTAAGTACGGAATGTACTTCGACCCTCCGAAATGCTAAGTGCTGCTCCAAGATTTTCACTCGCCTGTTCCCTTGCTCACTATTGAAGGTACACAGCTTGAACAAGTGGATAGTTTTGTTCGCCTGAGCAGCTGCATGTCGACTACTACGACTACTACGACTATTACGACTACTACGACTACTACGACTACTGCGACTACTACTACTACTACTGCTACTACTACTACTACTAGCCAGTCGAGTTTCACACAGAGATCATGACTTAGGCTATGTAGGTGGTTAAGGTTCAGCAAACATGAGTGGGGCGCCGGAAGGTTTGTGGCCAAGGCCCAACTGCGAATCGGCCTGGTCTCTGATCCATCCAGTAACGCCGGCCTTATCGCAGCTTTATACGCCCTACCCTTCTCTGATAAACCTTTATAAAGCCCCACGGGCTCTGCTGACTCGCGAACTAATTGCCCACCACGAGCGACGCAGCTACCAAGGTGCTCTGGCAGATACACTGGCTGGCGAGCACATCTATTGATACACTTGCTTGTGTCTATCGGCTTCCCCGAGACACTCACTATGAAACCCGATAACTAATTGACGCGATCAGTATGCCTCTCTCCACTGCTTAAAGTGCTAACGTATATGCGGCGATTTCCACCTGCTATATGTTGACTGTATATTGCGTGCATCAGCGACTACGGTACTTGAAAAAGATAATCTACTGTATCCTCTTCAATGGCTAGACCCAACTTATCAGAGTCCACTAGAAATGCCCATATTCACCGTGGGACTCCATTCTGCCTATGTATCCAATGATACTCCACTATCTGGTTACGACCACAACGCGTGACTTGCTCGCTTGACCATGGAGTCACCTGAAGTATCGAGCTCAATGTTTATACTCATTTTTACCTCACAAAAATTGCGACGAACATAAACCCTCGGGCAAAGCCGCAAGAGGGAAAAAATTTAAAGTATTGTGTCGCAAGACCAGCTACTTCGACTGAGGCCATATTGTACATACAACCTTTAGCCCCAATAGCTAAAATCACTGAAGAAAGTCTGGCACATAGAAATCCTAGAAGAATACAGACACTCAGTTATTTAAAGGAATAAAACATTAGAACGCATCGTAAGTTTTATAACAGACATTGGACGATGACAAACTAATGCACGACATCTCCTGTACATGCGAGTCAATCAGCTCTAGCTTTGCATGCTCCTTTGTTATTAACACTCAAATGGTTGGTTGGATCCCCGTGAGTAGCTCTTTGTCTGCAGCCCGTTTGACGACATCAACTAAGGTTGATTCAAGTATTGTTACAAGCTGCTTTTTGTTTGTGGTTTCCGCTTATGCTTCCACCGACTATTTCTGATGGTGCCAAGGACACATACTACCACGAACTGAATACGCTACTACGCAATGGTGCCAGTTCAGAAACATAATACTTGCAGGGGACATGAACGCACAAGTGGGGCGTCTGTGCTCTTCTGAAGCTCAGTTAGGTGGTAATGATGAACCTAAACCCGAACAGACAGACAACGGTTAGCGTCTGTTGCAATTGTGTACCCAGCATTAGCTGTTTCTTAGTAGCACTGCTTCTAGATACAGTGGGCGCAAAAGTGCCACTCAGCATCCTTCTGTAGCTGGCCAAGGATGGACAAAAATAGATCACTTTGCCATAATTTACAGGTGACATGGTTATCTATTCGTTTGTCAGTTGTTGGGGAACGTTTGCCTGCACTCTGTTCATGTCTTGCCACGCTGTCCTATTTCCGTGAACTTTACTGGGTGGCGCACCAAGCGTCTCCCTCGATTAGAAACTGAGGAAGAATCTTTGTCCCTGGTTAGGCAAGGTTATCAGGGTAAATTGCCTACCGAACTTTCGCTTTCTTATCCTACTGACAATGGATTTGAGCGGATTAGGATCTCGGCCGCTATACACCATGCAGGAGCCTCTGCTTGTGGTACTATCAATCATCACCGCATCAGTCACTGGATATCCGAGAGTTCAGTGAACCTGTTGAAATCCAGAAGAAACCTCCCGACTCGCTATGAGCACAATATGACTAAGCGGACCATTGAGCGCGAACTGAAGCCGAGCCTGCTTGCTGACAAGGAAGCTTGGCGGGCCAGTCAGGTCCAAGAAATAGAGGAGGTGGGAGCAGTGGGCAATGATCGCAACCTCTTCCAGCTGATCCGGACCACTTGTCCCAGGAAACCAGGCGTCAGTGAGACAATCAGATACGGCCTCGAGTGCCATTATTCACAATGAGGAACACCGTATGGCTCGTTGGATGAATTACTTTTAAGATTAGTTGAATCATCCATCCTATTACAGTACTTACGTATGCGACGACTGCGCCCACCTAGGCATCATGTGCCGTTTATCCAAAGATATACAGAATTGTTTTGTCACCTTTGACTTGAAGCCTGCCTTACATTCATTTGTATATCTCCATCTATTGTATCGTCTATCTTTGATTAGCGTATCTGAACAGTTTCTTTGTATTCTAAGATCCTTATGCCACGAATCTCTTGTCTGTGTGAAATTCTGCATGAGGTTCTCCTCCAGACTCACTATTGTAGACTGAGTACATCAGGGAAACCCCATTTCTCTTCGACTTTATCATTGAGATGAAAGCATGACCTCACCTCTGCCTTCTCCCACATATCTTAAGGTAGACTTACTTCCTAGTGGACAATGTAGCTTCCCTTGAGTTTCGCCTTTATTGTTCAGTCGCTGTTGAAGACGCTGACACAACGCTATGCGCTTTAGCACACGCTGTGCGCCTTCAGTGCAAAGCGATGTAATAGGCTGAACCGATTCACCTTCATTTCTCACCATCACCGAGTTACTGCTCAAAGATGTCGATCTATTTACTTACCTGGGTTGTTGTATCAGTTTTGGTGTTCGCATCATCGAAAGGGTTGTGGCGCACATTGCTAGATCTCGTGCAGGTTTCCAACTCCTAGCCACATATTGACATGATGGAGTGTAACCCAATTAGCTAAGAACTTACAGCGTTCCGATGTGACCATGGTTACTATACGAATCAGAGCCTGGCTACGGCACTCTGCAAAGGTTAACAGACTGGTCGTGGCTGATCACCAGTGTGAAATGTCTAGTACTGAAGCTCGTTTTGTGTGTTACAACAAGCTCACATCGCCTTCACTGACTCAGTCATACGCTTCACATATCTGTTAACAGTACTGTTAACAGTACTTTGTCTAACCGAGGGAGACCTCGAGATTGTTGCGAAGTGCCATGAGTACCAACCGATATTGAAACTCGTTCTTTTCGTTTTGCTAGGTAGGATCCTCCAGATCGGATGCATCGGCGGTTGCATACCTTATCGGATGTGACTATATCGCGAGATCAATGGCACCTATGCATTCGCTCCTCAATTTTGATTCTAAACGGTTCTTCGATAAATACTGTTCCTCCTCATTTTATATACGTTAGTTATACTACTAATCTATTTAATGAGTTGAGCCAATGCCGTACCTCCGTGCACAAACGAAATCGATCTGGTAGGTTAGACAGAATCGGTTTTACTAATGCTGGTGCATAAGTCACCCATGATGAAATTCCATCCTTTTACTCGCTACGCTGTTCGGTTTACTGTTTTGTTACACTAAGTACTTTTCAAATCAAACACAACCGGCTCCTGGAAAAGTTGTCACAACACAAGTTGAACTTGCGTACCAGAGCTGCACACTATGAACTGTCCTATTATGTAACCAGACCATTAATCAACTGCGCTGCTGGTTTCGCTGCCTTTTCATGTCGTTTGAAAGCATCATGTTCGAATGACTCGCTGGATACATCTTTCCTATGATCGTCATTGCATCCGACTTTCATTCAAATCCCTGTTATATTACACTCCCTGGTTTCAGAATTTGCCACTTTCTTTGTATACAAACTCCAGAGTCCCAATCAAGGCCTGTGTTGCTTCAATGAGCATTCAATACACTAGGCGATATACTGCATTTTCATTCTATTCTTGCGTTCCGATTTGCTTCGACGACAAGCGCGTTCACCGTTTATTTTTTCTATCCCATAGGATCCTCTGATGGACAATCGGCCCCTAGCTAGCGGAAAAGGATACCAAATCAACTGGGACGAGGTGGACAGTATGTCGGATCCGTTCGGGAAGCGCGACCCCGCTGCTTCGAGGGGGAATTCAGTGAGCGTGAATTCCATGGGTGATGGCCCAGATGAAACCCCGGTAACCACTGGTATTCGGAAGCCCAACTCACCGTCTCATCCTGTGTCAGCTGACGATCCGTCATATCCACCTAATTCTAGTCTAGTGAATGGCAACGAGGCCAACCATTTATCTGAGAGCCCTTCACACAGCTCAGTCGACTTACCGGCGACGACATCCTCAGGTATCCATACTTGAAGTTACAAATTGGTGTCTATTCGAGAGCAGTCATAACTTTCCAATCCATAATGACCGTTTAACTAGTGCCAAGGTTTCTTTGTGCGTGAATTGCTTCTCACACTGACTTGTTTACAGATGGTACTGACATCACCTGCGTCATCAATCTTACAGATCCGTTGTAACTCCTTAAGAGCTCAACTTGGTGTCGCGTGGTGGTGGTGATTTCATTTCAAGTCAGTTTATTAACTGTCAATTGCTCAGCAAAATACTGGGAATCCAATTGCCTTTACAAATGTCACTACAATAGTAATAAGAATAAAGATGGTAATAATAGCTCGGTCGTCAAATGCAATAGTCAGTGGTCAGAAATCAGGGTGCGAATGCAATGGCGCTACTAATTTCGTGACGGCGCCACCTTCGATAAGATATAAAACCACTGATGTGGCGGATTCTCGGTGGCTCATCCAGGAAGACGGCAGGCGCTAACCTGATTCAGCAGATTGCTACTTTCCTCCACATACTTTTGCCACAGCGTTTTGCCTAATTAGGCACAGTATCGGTCACTGATACGCCTCCTATCCGTATGGCGAAACGTAGTAATATCATTGCTACTAATGACATAAATGCTCAAGTGGGCCCCTTTCAGACTCTGAACAACACCAAGAAGGTTGCTTCTGGGGTGATTCACATCGAACAGATAGTGACAATCGATTCATGCAACTATGTGCCGACCACAAGCCTTATGTTAGCAGTACTACTTTCCAGCGCAAGCGTTCACGCCCATCGCATTCCTCAGGAATATGAACCAAAATTCACCATATTGCGATCAGTCCAATACGGTGCCTCGGCTACGTATTGCACATGTCAGCCCTACTGACTGGCGCCAGGAGTGTGGATGAAAGAAGAGTATTGGTAGCCAAGCGATGACTTAGTCAAGAGGAATGAAGGCTTTTAGTTCGAACTTGGCCTCGGTTGAGCCTCTCGGATTCCTGGTTGGGGACAGAAGCACGATGAACATGTTTGGCTGGTTACTTTTGCTGATATGGTTAGGAGCGGATCTCAATGGCGTTTGTGTTGTGAGTTTCTTCGTCTCTTCCCATCCCGTTTAGCCTCCTCCTCCAATTATGATCTCATTTCTTATCATAATATCAATTTTGCATAGCATACTTTTTTGCTGCAGAGTATCCGGCTGGTAGCTTTCCGGAACGATGTCTATCCATTACTGGTAGCGCAGCTGGCTGGCATATGTTATACTTTTCCTTTTTTTCTTTTCTCATGTATTGTCACAAAATAGCGGAGGTCTTTTCCACCTCTAGCCAACGTGTATAGTGGGTCCAATACCATCGATCAATTTGGACCAGGTGCCCAGATTTCCACCATGCTCTAATGCGCGTACGCCTGTTGCCCCCTCTTCCTGCTTCATAGAAGCGGTCTGAATTTCAACAATATTACAACAAACTGGCACACCAATTGAGGAACAAAGCGGGGGAGTCTAATGCTGACTGGGATCGTCTCAACTGTGCCATGTAGAGTGCTTTTGACACCTGCTGTGCGCCCAAATTGATACATCCCAACTCTGCATGGATCTCTGAGGTATGGGTTATTTTGATCGAAGTACGGAAACAAGTGCCAATTGATACTGAGTTTCGACGTGTCCGAAGCGCCTTGTAACTACGCCTAACAAGGAATCGATGACGTGGTATAAACGCATGGATAAATTGTCTGAGTGGCTTATTCAGGCCGACTTCCTGAATGGGTGCACCGGGGTGGTCCACACCAGCGGTTGTAAACTATCAGACATGACACAGTCCCAGAGTCAGTAGCGTTTCTGCGCTCGCTTTCTTACATCCAGCCGTTAATTCTCCATTCCAGTTAGTTTAGCACACTTTGATTCCATTTTCTTTGTATTCTGTTTGCATACGACCTCATCTCCTTACCCTGTTATTCTGGTAACGTGAGTTGTGGCAACTGGATCTTGGTTGTTCAACTGAATTGAAACGTACTAAAATAACGTGCCCCAAGGTATTCAGTTTAGACATTCGAATGAAGCCAACCTATTATCGGATCCAGCAGGTATTCGGATCTTGAGCACCAAATGAAGAACTTTAGTCCTATTCGTTCCGTTCCCCGATCAGATATGGACGACAACCCATCAGATATCCGTGCTCAAACACAGTCAGCTGTAATGTCCTTAGCGCAGTAACCATCTGGCTCTGCACCATTTGATAATGATAACAGTGACGATAGTGAGGACACTGACTACTGGTTGGAAGCAACAAAAAGTGATAACTCTGTGTGGCTACATCCAAAATCACTCAGCTGCAAAGACATGTTATGTTGGAGAGCGTTCGGAATATTTCATATCGATAAACTTTTTGCCCAGAAATTTCTTGTATCCTGACATAGGCTTTGTCGCAACTACGTGCTGCGGCAGGATGTTCCATACATTCACCACTCTCCGTTCGAAACAGAGTTGGTGGGCGACCCGCTTCAAATCTGGTACTGCAAGTTTGTGCTAGTGTCTTTGTGTGCGCATCTAGAACAGCGACTTCAACATTGGGTAATCAACAAAATGTACTATTCGGTGCGTCATGGTGAAGTCATCCCGATAATCGATGATAAGACAGTGTGCAAAGTCCTAGTCTCTTGCATACTTCATAAAGTGGGTATAAGCCTAGTGGTCACATACTGTACCCCCTCAGTCCTTTCAACGGCACCCCGGGTGGTATGACAGTATACGGGCGAGTCGTCCTCTAGCATGATCCTCCTTCAGGTTGGCATGCCTCAATGTATGCACACTGCTACAAATCGTTCAACAGGCAGCACTTGCCCGAACATTGGTGACCCTCTCGATCGATACCTGCTGCTTATCAGAGACCCGCCTGCAAGACTCGAGCTCAGTGCGCCTATCCGGTAACGATGCAGCTTCGAGCACCGGCCAAGCTGGTGTTGGCATTGCCCTGAGTCCCCCGGGCTGAAGCTGCTCTGGTTGATTGGATTCCAATCAGTAGCCGGATGTGTGCGGTCCGATTGGCTGGCTCGTTTAGAGCTTCAAAGTCGCGCGGGACTAATAGGTGTCTATTCATCATCTTTGTCTACGCGCCCACAAAATGTAGCGATGATTCGGTAAAGAACGACTTCTACCGCCAACTGACTCAGCTCCTTCGCCACAGAAGAAGCATGGACACTGTTGTGCTGGCTGGGGATATGAACGCTCAAGTTGGAAAGTTGTCCACTGATGAAATGCATCTGGGCGGTCAGCACGGTGTAGGCTCCCGTAATGATAACGGTGAGCGGTTACTTCATTTGTGTGAAGATGCTCGCTTATTTCTTGCGAGCACTAATTTCCGACACAGCACCCGCCGGAGGGTGACTTGGCGCCCACCAGCCTCGAACCAGCCTTGGACGCAGATCGATCACATTGCTATTAGTTACCGCTGGAGTGGCTGCATCCAGAATTGTCGCTCGATTTGGAGCACATGTGTGGACACCGATTATGCACTTGTATGTGCTGACATGCGGATGTGCTTTGGCGGACGCCCACGACGACGCTGTGAGCGCATTGACACCAGCCAACTGACAAAGCCAGCTGTTCTGAATGCGTATCGAAGTACGCTGACATGCGAGTTGAGTAATCGCCCACTGGAGACAATTGATGGTCACTGGTCACATGTTCGCCAGACCTTACTAGCAGCGGGCAAATCCTCATGTGGTATGTCTAGTCACCAACATGGACATTGGGTCTCTTCACAGTCTCTGGAACTTATCGACGCTCGCCGGCATATCCCGGCTGGAAACAAACACAATGAAACTCGCAAAGAGCTTCGGGCAATCTCCGTGCTAGCCTGAAGAGGGACCGCGAATCTTGATGGTCTCATTGTGCGTCAGAGATGGAAGTGGCCGCTGCCCTTGGCAACCATCGTAAGTTATTCCGTCTGATACGGGAAACGGACAGCAGGAGACCTGGTGTTAGTGAAACAATTTGTGATAAGAGTAAACAGCCTATCCACAATTTGTCAAAACGTTTGGAGCGTTGGGCTGAGCATTTTGAAAAGCAGTTTAATCGGCTAGAATTGTTCGATTCACTGGTCACTGATCGCGCTGCTCCGTGTGCTGTCCCTTTGGATCCACCCTTTCGCTCAGAAGTCGAATGTGATATCGGACTGTTGAAGTTGAACAAAGCCGTGGGACCAGATGATCTTCCTCCAGCCCTCTTCAAATTCGGAGGCTCTGCTCTTGTTGATGCTTTACATGAATTACTAGTGAAACCGTGGGAGCAGAAGACTGTCCCAACCGACTGGAACCGCTCCGTTATTGTTCCCATCTTCAAAGGCGGCTCGCGCTCGGAATGCGGCAACCATAGAGGAATCAATCTGATCTCCATCGCCTCCAAATTCCTCGCCTCCATAATTCTTCACAGACTGACTGGCGCTCGTGAAAGCCAGATTCGTGAGGAGCAAGCCGGGTTTCGTCGTGGTCGTGGCTGCATCGACCACATCTTCATCTTGCGTCAGTTGTTGGAGCACCGTCACACATATTGGCGGTCCACCGTTGCCGTGATCCTCGACATCAAAGGTGCCTTCGATTCGGTTGATCGATGTGCCCTTTTGAATTGTCTACTCAGGAAAGGTGTGCCCGAGAAATATGTAAGTATTATCCAGGCATTATACGCGCGTAACACGGGCAGAGTGAGGGCTTACGGCAAGCTGTCGCCACCCTTCAATATCTCTAGCAGTGTGAGACAAGGACGCCCGCTGTCACCTTTCCTATTCGACTTCGCTATTGACGAAGTCATGGAGATTGCATTTACAGGACATGACTTGGAAGGTGTGGATCTGCTCCCAGGAGAACGACTTCTTGATTTGGAGTATGCTGACGACATTGCCCTCATCTGTGACAGCTCACAAACGTGCCAAGCCGCGCTGGACAGATTAGCATTGGCTGTCAGTCGCTTCGGGCTTTGCTTTGCACCATCGAAGTGCAAAGCGTTCCTCCAAGATTGGC